GAACTCAAAATTCAAACCCCAAAAGAAGCAAAGAAAAGTACAGAGAAGATAATTTAACCTTGGAAAAGACATCCAATAGCTCTATTGGCAGGTTTTCTCCTTCTACATTCATTCCATTCTGTGGAAGACAATCATTAGATGCTTTGCTTTTTTTGGGCATTCCTCCGACTTCGAAGCTAACCACACACAGCTTGCAGCAACCGAATTAACAAAAATCCAGTTTATCAATGAAATAAACATAGACATAAAACGATTGCTCAAGAGACCCAAAAAAAAAAAGAGTAAATTTTAAGGTGAAGCTTAAGGTCCAGATGCAAACCTTCACGCTAAAGCGGGCAAAGGACTTCTTGCAGTAGAACCAATGGAGAAGGACCTGCCCTGTGGTCTTAATAGTTAAGGAACTCACAAAAGAAAAAAAACTTGGAGACCCACAGTTGTAAAGCTGATGCATACCGTGCCACAGATAATTCTTTGAAATCACTTCTAATTGATCAACAAGCAAGAAAATATTCACAAGTACGGGGAAAAGGACACCGTCTAAGAAGAACGCCGCTCTCTCGGATGAGGTGCCACCCGCGGCATGGTCTCCGTCTCCTCATCGATCCCATCTTTGCTCGACGGGGGATTCTTCGACCGCTCATCGGTGACGTAGAAGGTGTCGGCTGCAGTATATACCATCCTACCCAAATGAACATATTCAACAACTATAACTTTTGGCGACGTTGAAAGATCAAACTGAAAAAGCTCAAGGTTCATTTACAGGAGATGATCGCTACAGAATCCAGGGTTTTCAATGAGATGCAAACCCTCACAATCCATCCAATCCGACCATAAAGTAAAACAGAAAAGGAGCGGAAAGAGATGGTGGCGGCCGGCGGAGACGGTGGCGACACGGAGGAGGCGCCGAGGTGGGGGGCGCGAATTGGGGATTTTTTACTCCTGCTTCATCCCTCGTCGTTCGATTGGGGTTGGGTTGGATCGGACTGGGCTATATCGGATCCGGGTTTATGCCCGCGACCCGTGATATTTGCAGACGTAAACCACGGTCATGACTGGAGTCGCGGATCCATATTGCTTGCGGAGCCCATCCGATATACTCTTTTGTGGACTTCTTCGTGGATGAAGTCTCATGTGAGAGTAAAAGATTCATACTATAATTAGCTAACTTTAAAAATTATATTAAAATTTATATACTTATAAAAGTAAAATAATTAACACGTTGTTCTAATAAAATCTCTTATTTTTAACCATACGGAAAGAATCTTAATATTTTACTTTCATAATTAGAGGGATATAATGTAATTTTTAAAAATATAAGGATTATAATATTAAATGTAACTAATTATAAAGATAATTTATAATTAGTCCCGGATTGAAAAAGATATATATTATCCTTCTTTGCATGGAGAGATATTAAACTTTAAATGTATGATACTAAATATAACTAATTATAAGGATAATTTATAATTAGCCTCCACTGGAGAGACTGAGATAGATATATATTATCCTTCTTTTTGTATAGAGATCATTTCTTCATGTTAGAAACTAAATTAATATATCTTCTATTGCTATCATAGACATCGGATCACGTGTTCATATAGGTCAAATCGATTGTATTGAAATGTTAGAATGTTTACTGTCATTATTATTTAATTTATATATTATTGATACGAAGGTACTAAGATATTTATGTATTAACATAAAATAAATGTCACATATTCGATCCTCGTCAACACCTAACCAAATTATTTGATGTTCTACCCCACATCTTCTTTTTTTTCAAATTAAGAATTTAAACTCGTTTTTTTTGTGTGTGTGGTGATGTATTTTTTTTGTCTTTTTAGATAGGGTTTGATATATCTAAGTGGTACTTAAAATAATAAAAAAATCAAAAGGCAAACTTATCATCATGTCATTGCACCCTTTTCCTGCCGACAAATTGAGACCCAACGGAGGTGCAATAGGTGAAGTTGAGATGTGCTCAGGAGGACTATGTCTTTAATCGACTTTTTAAGAAATGTATATAAATTAGTGAATCCACATTGGATTTGGATTTAAACACCTACATAGTTTGTTGGATTTATACTAATAAATGAAGATTTTAAATTAGATTATTAATAAATATTAAAAGCTTAACCTTATAAATAAATAATTTATATTAAGCTCTAAGATGATAAAGTCATCATTTGTTATTTGTTATTATCGACGTAAGCACGAAGGTCCGTAAGGAATTATCCATTTTGAATGAGCTCGAGTGGTTTTATCCTTTTTATGATTCACTTCGGAAGAGTAAAATCGTACGAACTTACCTCATCTATAGCAAACAATTCCTTACCTCAAATTAGAATTAATATGTGACATAAAAGGCAGGTGTGTTGTGTGTGTCTATAAAAGATAAATAAATTGAATAAAATATTATTATTAAGCCGAGGGTTAAACCTAATTATGTCATCCACTATGTGGATTAAATAGTCAAACCCTCAATCGCTAGGGTAGATCTGACCTACTCTCTAGCACACTTGACTATGTGATTTGAGTTAGATTGATATATATATATATATATATATATATATATATATATATATATATATATATATATATATGATTAGATATAATTTAAAAGACTAAATTACCACATTTAATCCATGCCATTTGATAGTGTGACTTCATCTCACATCTCTCTATCTTTAATCCTTTCTGTGTCTTCCTCTCTATCATCCTATTCACTTGGAATGAAAGCTTCAGTTACCCATCCCATTTATTTCAGTCATCAAAGCTATCTGTCTCTGCAACAAAGCAACAAAGAAGAAGATAATGAACTTTATGGAATCGAAGCAAGAAAAGAGGAGGCGTTGATTCTTCAACAAAGTATTATATTTCTTCTTCCTTCGTCTTCTTCCTCGCATCTTCGTTGGGTCGACAGCACAAAGAGATCACGGGTAGCCATGGGCGAGGCAGGCTTCCCAGAACAGCCTATCGCTCTCCGCGTCCGCCATCGCCGCCTCGGCGCCGGTCACGCCCGAGGCCGACCCATTCGCTCCCTTTTGGTCGCAGCCGACGACGACATCCGCCACCACCTCGTACTGGGACGCATACTCCGCCAGCCACCCACTCCACGACATGCACCTCTCGTCGGCTTCTCGCCCGGCAGCACCACCTTCGTCGTCGCCACCGCCGCAACCGCTGGAGGACTCCGCGTCGTCGCTGTCGTACGCCGCCGCGATCCCGATCGCCATGGCGTCGTCGACCTCCGAGTCACCGCTCACCTCACACGTCTCATCATTCGGAGGACGCCAATCCATGCACTCTACCGGCAGACGATCTCCGGTGGGCGTTGTCTCTCTCCAAACATATATATCTATATATGGTTGAAGAACTCACTACATTCTTATATCATATGCTGATTTGCCGCACAACGACATCAACGTGTCCAAAAAAATCATATATATATATATATTATATTATATTTAAGTGATGCACTTTTTCTTAGGAAAGACATTACGTTTTCCTAACATTTATTCTCTTATATATATATATATATATATAGGATTTTTTGAGGGGCTTTTATGGAAAAAGGGAAGTGAGAAGTTGGGGCGCATACTGTGGGTAACGTGGCAAACGCGGCGGGAAGGGGCACGTGTCGGTCGGCAAGGGACTGACTACGTCAAAGGAGAACGAGGGTGGGAGTGGAGGGACCGGCGATGCCCCGTTCTTCCGGTCGCTGTCACGCCCTTGTTTTTATCTACTTCGACGTTAGAACATGGATCGTCGTTGACCAATGGACTTTGACCAGAGAGACGAGCGCTGGGATTTCTAGAAAGAAGACTATAAATCAGTATTCAAATCAGTTAATTAATTATTTGATATTCTGCTTTTTCCTAAAATTAATTTGATATCTATAATTTTAAAGAAAAAATTTGGAATTTTTTTTGGATTTTTCTCGACAAACGCTCTTATTTTCAAAAATTAAAACACTGATTTTTTTTATTACATCAGGAATATCTTTTTTTTTATTTTCCTATGGATCGATCCGTAGGATAAATCGATGTAGTTATAATATTTTTTAAATAAAATTCTGTTTAAAGTATTTTTATATTACATTATAACATTTTCAAATATATAAAAAAAAATATATTAGAATATTTTTAAGTGTTATTGAAAACACTATAATGGAGTGCGAAAACATTATAAATAGATTGATTCATCCTATCGATCGATCCATAAGAAAAAAAAATATTATTTGAAAAAAAAAGGATTATATAACGATGAGGTTTTAATAAACACTTTTTACTTTTATTTTTCATGGCGTAAAGACCGGATTACAAAGTATGACTTTGGAGGCTAATCGATAGACGAGTTGTTGACTTTGATGGATCGAAAACAAGTAGTGTGTGTTCATTTGAATCGATTTGCTGACGTCTTCTCGTCGAAAGATTCAACTCACGCAGACATCACATCCTCTCCTTTGTCTCTGATAGAATTGATCGCTCGCATGCAGACGGTGAATGCATCAACGCGTTTGACTGCGGAAACAGCGTGAAGGGAATGGAGTCGGGAAACTACGCCCATTTGCACCACCGTACAAGAACGAGGACGCAGCATACACGCCAACATTTGCACTACCGACGAAGGATGTCAATCTGGTCAACATACGCATAGTCAACTCATGCTACTTCCACCAACTCGAGCTTCTTTTCACATGAACTCTCGATTTGATGTTACTGAGATGTCAACCAACCATCCTTACATTAGAAATATATATATATCTACCGATCTCTTTTCACATAAATTGAGTATGATATCATATTATCTAAATCATGCACCCTTCACATGAGAATTAAATATTTTGACAAGTCAACTCCCTCGTGACGAATCCTTCACATCATAAACTCCATCTACTGAATCAGTGTCAAGTGTGTGTCCGTCGGTATCGGTTGGTGGAATTCTTGAACTTGAACTTATATTTCTCGGCTTGAATGGGCACTGTAAATGGAATTCTAATATATCAATATATTTCTTGAATTAATTTAGAAGCTTAAGCATTCATATGGATTATATATTCATATCCTTAATAATGCTTTGGGGGAAAAGAGCAATGCTATTAGTTATTAGAAGACTTAGTAGACGATAATTAGTAGTATAACACATAAGTAGATAAACGTGAAGCAATGCTATTTTTTACCGCTGTGGAGGCAAGAAGAAAAGCAAGAGGTTCGTTTTGGTAGCATTATAGAAATGAGTCCATAAATATAGGTTCATCTTCTATCTACCTACTTATATAAGTAACATTTCGATTAGTTTTATCGGAAGTTGTCAAGATTAAAAATTAACTTTTAAAAGTTTAATAAGTGTATTATTATCAATCTTAATTTAAACATAGTGACGGATAGTTTATATCAAACGAAACTGATGGGTTAGATAGTTCGATTATAAAATAAATGATATCAGAATCAACCTAATATTTATATATGATGAAATGGTTTGAATATGAAAGGGTTCGTCACAATATGAAATTATTACTGAGCTACGCTTTGACGAGGGCATCAAATCCTTGAGTGAAAAAAATTGTAATATCTCAAGTAGTCTTACATCGAAAAGATAAACTAAAAATTAACTTATAAGAATGGTTTAAATTAAACAGAGTTGATAAGCTAATTAACTTATTGCTCGAGTCCACAGAGTTAATTTTACCAAATGGTTTTAATTTTGATTCGGACAAGTCGTTTTAGAAAAAAAAATTTATAATTTTGTTATTATTTTAAATTATTAATAATTATAAATTAAAAGTAAAAAAAAAGGGGGGACCGACGATTTGAGTGGGAAGTCGAACCTTCGAAACCGAAACGGGTGAGCTCTACTTGGAAGAATACTGACTGTAAAGTTGCTTTGGGAGCCACTGCAGAGAGAAGGCTTTCGGTGGAAAACTT